CGCACGCACTTGAGCTCTGTGTTGATCTGCAAGCGGAAGCGGCTGATCTGAAATTGCGTCTTCCTCGTCCTCTCCCCCATCTCGTACGTAATCGCCTCCCTCACTGTCGGGATCCTCTCGGGGTACCTGCAAAATGAGTCAGAGAGTCAAGAGGCGGAGACAATTGCAGGACAGAGGAGGATGAGCAACAGGGGAAGGAGGGAGTAAGTAAGTGAGGAGGGAGGGAGTAAGTGAGGAGGGAAGGAGTAAGTGAGGAGGGAGGGAGGGAGGGAAAGCAGGAGGGAGAAGGGGAAAGGTGGAGGATGATGGAGGGAGGAATGGGGAGAGGGAGGGCAAAGATGCCGGTCGGAGGCAGGACAGAAGGAGGAAAGGAAGGAGGGGAGGAAGGGAGGGGAAGGGATGGAGGGAGGGCAGTGGAGGGAGTGATCCACCTATCGATGTCTGTTAGCACAGCAAACACAGTTGACAGGTCTGCCTCCACATCAACGACGACGAGCCCTGTTCCTATTCTCCCCTCCCTCATCTGCTTCTGAACCCTCTCTCCTCGCCTCAGCGCCCTCATATCGCTCGCTGATAACTCAGGAAGGTTCGGCCGGAAACTGTTTCTGACGTTTCCTTCCTCCTTCACTCCCTCCTCTTCCTTCTCCTTCACCATCACAGCTGATTGGACTTGCTTCGGCTTCTCCGCTATGGCAGTTGCGAACTGCAGGTTTTTGCTGTCCTCCTCGTTCCGCCAGCTTCTGATCATCTTCGCCAACCTCCTGCTCCACAGCACTCGCTCCTCCTGCTCGCCCTCTCCTCCCTCCCTTCCCACCATCGGCTCGTTCAAAGATCGCAGAGCTCGTGCTGCCCTCCTTGACCCCAAGAACTTCTCCTCCTTCCCGCTCTCCTGCATCCGCAGGCTTGTCAGCATCCCTGTTGTCCCTTCTCTCTGACCATCTCCGCACGATGAAGCAACAGGCACACGGAGAGGGCAGGAGCACGAACCCACATGCTGCTGCCGAATGTCCATCGGCTTTGACAGCATGAAAGCGCTCTGCTGTACCCCTGGTTTGATGCAGCCGTCCGTCTGACTCAGCACAGCGGCAACGAGGAAGAAGATGACGCTGCAACCTCGTTGAGCTCGAGGACAAGAAGAGAAGCAGGAGATGAAACGAATCATCCTCCTCTTTGACGTGAGCGACACGTTGAAGTTTCAGCCGAACAAAGGGAAGATTTGCAGGGAGGCGATGTAACAGTACGCACGATGGCGGCAGAGATGAAGGCGAACGCTATGGACGTAGGGGAAGAGAATAGATGAGATGGAAAAAGGCAGCGATAGAAGGGAAGAGAGATGAGTTTGGGAGAGGGAACAGTTCCAAGCAGGGCAGGGGAGCGTTCACAGCACAGGAGGTACGAGGTAGGAGGGGAGAAGGTACAGAGAGGAGGAGAGACGAAGAGGAGGAAGGGTCGAAAGAACGAGGAACAAGAAGATGATGCAGTGAGAGGAGGAGGAGGGCAGGGAGGAGAAGCAGTGGGTCGGGAGGTAGGATATGTCTTTATGCCATGCCCGGGCGGCTCTTGTATGTTCAAGACGGCAAAACAAGTTGGCGGCCTCTTTGAATGCTTTTGGGAGTCAATTCAACCCTGCTCTAAATAATATTATCTGATTTGAACTTTTGACACGATAATTAAAATTAAAAAATCGCCAACTTCACTTCGACCTGATAGACTCAATGAGGGGGTGGAAGACTCCTTGTGTGGGGGGTGGAGGGCACTATTGGACGGGTGGTGATCATATTTAGTGGGTACTTGGAAGTTGAAGTCTTCAAGTACCCCTACCTTTTACTACATTTGACAATACAGTTTTGATCATTATGATTCTGCCAGGGGTATAGATGAATCAAGTGGGGTAGTAGCAACATTCAATGTGTTTGTGGGGTAGTAAAAAGATCACACTGTTAATCATCAGATTCAATTATGAGGGTGGGGGTAGGACAAATTATCCATTTTACTAAGTTTTTCGTAGGGGAATCGGGGGTACTTGGTTTGTTTTCGGTATTTATGGGGGTAGGGTTCGACTGCTGAGGTTAAATTTATCCATGCGACGGAGCGCACTGAAGAGGGAGAGAGGGAGAGGGAGAGGGAGAGGGAGAGGGAGAGGGAGAGGGAGAGGTACATAGAGGGAGGGAGAGAGAAATGACAGTGAGGAGAGGATGGCAAGACTGTTCTACAGGATAGATAAAGGGACTCAGGAAGAGATACGATGATGAGAGATGCTTGAAGGGGAAATGGGAGATTGCAGCATACGCTGAGAGTGCAGAAAGGCAGAGGATTGCTGTGAGCAGCGCGAAGTGTCTTTGATTTCGAGTGTACATACTAAGAGAAGGTTTGAGGTAAATTGTCTGTATCAAGAAACGACCATATGCGAGACGATCAATTCGCAGTTATGGGCGTCCCTGTATATGTTGTACGTTGTACCAGGATGGGGGAAAATGATGAAATTGTGATATGTGAGTTTAATATTTCAGCGTAGCATTCAATTACACAGTTCTATTCCAAAACGAACAGAGATCGAAGCTTTCTTCAAAAGTGTTTTTCTAAAACCTTCAGTTGTAGATTTCATCGAAGCTGGTTGTAAGTAAGAATGAGCGACAGCGATGACGATGAAACACTCCAGTACAAGGTAGAGTGATGACAAATCTCATGTCTACCCTGAGAGCCTTGTTCTAGATCATTCTTCTGGGAGATGGGACGGTCGGAAAGACTTCTATAGCGATGAGGTTTACCAACGATGAATTTGGACAGCAATACAAACAGGTCCACCAAGATGCGCTCCTTTCCCTCGATCTCCTCCTCACCCCTCGCAGACCATCGGAGTTGACTTCATGCTACGGCGTCTGGAGCTGCCGGGAAACACAAGGGTAGCGCTTCAGATCTGGGACATTGGAGGTCAGAGTATTGGCAGCAAAATGCTCGGCAGCTACATCTTTGGTGGGTTTGAGAAGCAGCATCCTCCTGTTGAATCGCGAGCACTTGTTGTGAAGTTTCTTGTGATGACGTAGTTTGTGACCTTTTCCATGGAGAGTCTCTCTGTCTCCCTCTTCCTCTTATTGCTGATGCCCGTTATCAATTTGCTTCTCTCCTGCTGCTGCTGCTGCTGCTGCTGCTGCTGCTTGTACAAAGTATCAAGATCGACTTCGCTCCCCTCTGGTTTCCTCTCCCTTGCTCACACAGTCCAGGCTCACAAGCAATCATCATCGTATACGACATCACCAACTATCAATCATTCCAGAACGCAGAAGATTGGCTTGCGCTTGTACGTGCCCCTTGTAGTTCTGCTTTCTCCCTCACTGCCCCCAGGTCAAACGGTCTTTCCCCGACGAGAAGGACCTTCCTTACATGGCTCTTGTGGGAAACAAGGTACAGAGGAGGATGAGAAGGGGGAGGGGCAGTGCTGGAGGTCAGGACGATCGAACGGGATGAGATGTGAAGAATCAGGCGAAGACGATGGCAGGGAGGAGGAAGAGGAGGGATGAGGGAGGAGGAGGAGGAGGAGAAGGATGAGCACGAGGATGATGAGGAAGATGGCGAGATGTAACGAGGAGGAGGAGTCATGTTCAGAGCCTGGGGATGTGTGATCTCGGAGCTGCGTATACGAATGTACGATGTCGCATGCTATAACTTCCGCTAGATGTTGTAAAAAGTCATATGCCATGTCTGTGTAGTTTCTTGGCAAA